TCTCGACCTTGACCTCTCTAAGTGGCTTTAAGAATCTGTTGGACTCCTGGCAGGGTCCAATGCTGACATGTTCCTGTTTTTAGTTTTATACATTTGTCTTGGAATCTAGCTGTTTTTTTGGTTTTGTTACCTTTTTCCTTTTAGCCATCCTATTTGTTAAAAAAACAAAAAAAAAAAAACAAAACTGTAGTATGAGTTTTTATAACTGCTTATTGTTGTTGCTGTTGTCCATTGTTGTCATCTTTCTTTGTTGAAATCAGGTCTCTCTTGTAAATGAGTCCTCGAGGCTCAATGGGATTTACCTGTATAAATAAAGGTTGATTGATTGATTGATGTTCCCCGCCTCGCTTGTTAAGGTAGCTGCCTTGAGTTGTGGCTGCAAGGTTGTCAGTGCTTCTTGCGGTGGCCATCCACGAACTCGGTGGTGGACACCCTGGGTTAGGGAGACTGTCAAGCTGAAGAGTCCTATCAGTGGGACTCCAGAGGCAGCTGAGGAGTACTGGAGGGCCAAGCGGTGTGCAGCCTTGGCTGTTGCTGAGGCAAAAGCTCAGATGTGGAAGGAGTTTGGTGAGACCTTAGATAGACTCTCTGTCGGCTACAAGGAGATTCTGGCAAACCATCAGGAGGCTGAGGAGGGGAGAGCAACACTTTACTAACAATATGTTCAGTGAAGGTGGGGTGCTGTTAACCTCAACCAATAATGTCGTGGAGAGGTGGAAGGAATACTTCTCGGACCTTCTCAATCCCACCAGTACGTCTTCCATGGAGGAAGCTGAGTCAGGGGACTTTGGGATTGATCTGTTTATAATTGTGGCTGAGGTCGCCGAGGTAGTTAAAAGGCTTCAAGGTGGCAGGGCTTTGGGAGTGGATGAGATTCACCCTGATTTCCTTAAGGCTCTGGATGTTATGGGGCTGTCTTAGTTGACATCGAGGACAGTGCCACTGGATTGGCAGACTGGGGTGGTGGTTCCCCTCTTCAAAAACGGGGACTGGAGAGTGTGCTCCAATTATAGGGGCATCACTCTCCTTAGCCTCCCTGGTAAAGTCTATTCAGGGGTACTAGAGAAGCGTGTCCGATTGTTGGTTGAACCTCAGATCCAGGAGGAACAGTGTGGGTTCCGTCCTGGCCATGGAACACTGGATCAGCTCTTTACCCTCACTAGGGTCCTTGAAGGGTCATGGGAGTTTGCCCATCCAGTTGTATTATGAAATTAACAGGGGTCGTGAACGGTCGGCACCCGATGATTCACACGAAAGGAAATAAATCAAAGGAGACTGTTACTGCTAGAAATAATAGTGTCATTTATTAATCTGCCACAGAAAAACAGCCAAGCAAAAAAACATGTACACTCGTACACTCTTAACACACAAATTGATATGAGAGCCTCTCACCGTGACACGTGGTCGGGAAGCCGTTCGACCCGGGTAAAGGAATCACATCAAACTGTGCCGGGCACTCACGCGCGTTGGTCCACAGCAGACTTCAGAGTTCCCTTGCCTGTCACACCTCCTATATACCTCTCCCTGACCGGATCGCGTGAGAGCAGTGAAAAACAAGTTTGATGGTTGTCAGGAGGACAGATCTAATTAAAACATGTTTTTCCAGTAAGGAGCGCCGTGACCGCAAAAGCGGGCCAAAGCTCTTCGGTCAAAAGCACTCCTAATGCTTATTAAAGCATTCCTAGAGAGGATACACTGCACCCCTCCGTCCCTCTGCTAACCATCAAAGAGTGTCTAAATATTATAAGTAACACACACACAAAGTATATGTTTGAACAGGCATAAAGGCAACTTAATATATTTTTATATCACCAGTCTACATGTGTTTTGTGGACTTGGAGAAGGCATTCGACCGTGTTCCTCGGGGTACACTGTGGGGGGTGCTCCGTGAGTATGGAATTGGAGGTCCGTTGTAATGGCAGGCTGTTCAGTCCCTATACAAGCAGTGCGAGAGTTTGGTTTGAATTGTTGGTAGTAAGTTGGACTCCTTCAGGATGGGAGTTGGACTCCGCCAGGGATGCTCGTTGTCACCGATTCTGTTCATAACTTTTATGGACAGAATTTCTCGGTGCGGCCAGCTGGCTGAGAGTTTCCGGTTCCGTGGCCTCAGGATTCCATCTCTGCTCTTTGCAGATGATGTGGTCCTGTTGGCATTATCGTGCCGTGATCTTCAGCTCTCATTGGAGCGGTTCGCAGCCGAGTGTGAAGCGGCTGGGATGAGAATCAGCACCTCCAAATCTGAGGCCATGGTCCTCAACCTGAAAAGGGTGGATTGCTCTCTTCGGGTCGAGGTTCTGCCTCAAGTGGAAGAGTTCAAGTATCTCGGGGGTTTGTTCACGAGTGAGGGAAGAATGGAGCGTGAGATTGACAGACAGATTGGTGCAGTATTGTGGACTCTGTACTGGTCCATTGTGGTGAAGAGATAGCTGCGCTGTAAGGCAAAGCTCTCTGTTTACCGGTTGGTCTATGTTCCTACCCTCACATATGGTCATGAGCTCTGGGTAGTGACCGGAAGAATGAGATCACGGATACAGGCGGTAGAAATGAGTTTCCTCCGTAGGGTAGCTGGACTCTCCCTTAGAGATAGGGTGAGAAATTCGGTTATCCAGGAGAGACTCAGAGTAGAACCACTATTCCTCCACGTCGAGAGGAGCCAGTTAAGGTGGTTCAGGTATCTGGTAAGGATGCCCCCTGGGCGCCTCCCTAGGGAGGTGCTTCGGGCATGTCCAACTGGGAGGAGACCCCGGGGAAGACCAGGACACGCTAGAGAGACTATGTCTCTCGGTTGGCCTGGGAATGCCTTAGAATCCTCCCAGAAGAGCTGGAAGAGGTGGTTGTGGAAAGAGATGTCTGGGCCTCCCTGCTCAAGCTGCTGCGCCCGCAACCCAACTTTGGAACAAGCGGAAGGTAATGGATGGATGGATGAAGTGATTATACAAAGAAGTACTGCATTGTTGTAAAATAGAACAGTTTTATTATTGCAAGTTCGAGTAATTTGTTAACACATTGATGTCATATATAATGTCTACAGAAACCTAAACTGTGGATTACAGCTAGAACAGCTTAAAAAAATTGTATCATTCTTCTGGTCCTGTCTGTTGACAGGTCAGGGTTTTTTTTTTTGTTTTATTTTGTTATGCTGGATTGAGGTGGATTCCTCCCGTGACTTTGATGGCGAGCCTTCACACCTGGACTTAGAGAAAGAGAATTGGATTCCCTCCTTTTCCACTCTGAGTCCTGCTGCACCCTGCAGTGTGGTAGGCCTTTGTCACTCACATCTTCACACACAGTTGGTTATGCGTAAAACCACTGACTGACATTTTTTCACACGTATACTTTCATCCTGGGAATTTTTGGACTGTATCATTCTGACAAGTTTTTTTTTTTTTTTTAATTTGGGACAGTATAACAAACTGCTGTGTAGGAAATTCAAAACTGGAAATTCACTATGCCCCATTGAGACCGTTATTATGAGCAGTTTCACCATCCTCCCTCACAGCGCTGTATTGCATGGATGAGTGGAGTCAGCACAGCAGCTTGAAGCCAACTTTAGGAAAACAATGACAAGACTCTACTAAGACCCTCCTGTGAGTTTCAGTTTTACTTGATTCTAAAAGGGAGGGTGCCTATGCAAATTGTATCCAATCAGTGCAGCTTACAAACAGTGGGTGTATGCAAAGTTGCATAAATTACTTTTGATCACAACTCCTCCTCTCAAAGTTTACAGGGAAAAACAATAACTTTGCTTCTTTACAAAGTAATACCTTGTTTAAAAAAAAACAAAAAAACATTTTCTTCACAGATGTAGATGGGTTTTCACACAATACTGGCTAGAGTGGGCATTTCTAACCTGAACCCGACACCTGGCCTATATCGACCCGGATTAGGGCCAGGTCATTATAATGTGATTAATGGGCGGGCTGGGCCAGTCTCAGCTTTTAATTAGGTCAGGATCAGTCACGATCCAATTATATGATAACATGGCCTACCATACAATTACCAGCCGCACGCGGCCATTTCACTGCGAGCCGACTGGCCTTGAAAGAGGTAAAAAGTTCAGTTAAGCTTCAGATGGGACTGTACTGCCAGGCAGCGATCCATTGCTCAAATGGATGTTCATTCTGCCGCTGTACTCAGCGGACGCACGCGGCCGACGACCCATACAGGTGAGATCCCAAAGCAGACGCGTGTGTCAAGAGCTGTCTGCGTATCTCAGTAATTCACAAGAATGCAGGCAGAAACGGGGTTTAAATGCTTTTTTATGGCCATGAAAGTACAAACACCTATCAGCTCCGAATCGTCTGCCCCGTTTATTTAGCTGCGCGTCCCCGACCATTAATAACCAATTTAAAATGTTGGGGGGTTTTCCGGGGTTCGGACCTGTAATTACTGTTAATTTGTCGGGTCGGGTGGGGTTTGGAAATTAAGACTGCAGGCTGGGGCCGGTTTGGATCAGATTTTTTGGGCCCGAATGCAACTCTAATATTGGTACACAACAGGTGGTTCTGTTTGAAGCTCTGTGTTCAAGTGGTTAACTCCCACTCGTTGCCATGGTGAACACACCTCTTGTTGTGTTGGGGGTATGGCAAATGTGGATTGTGAGGAGTCTGACGGTTTGGCTTGTCCAGGAAAGGGTTGATTAGCAAAGGGGGGTTAACAGTCATGTTCAGTATCTCTGAGGCCTGATCAGGACGCTGAGTAACCCTGACTCATAGAATAGCAAAGAGGGGGTGGAAGAGTTTTACATTGTCTCTGAGGACAGGATGTGGACTTCTCTGAGGGATGTAGGACACTACACTAGAGAAATTATGTTGTTCATCACCAGATTCAGGCTTAAAAAAAAAAATATATATATATATATATATTACGAGTGTGTGTGTGTGGCTTGGCTCTCTGCTCCACAAAGAGGGCTGTGGTGACTCGGTGGTCTGTGGTTGTGTCAGGAAGGACATCTGGCACAAGTAATAATTGCCATGTCTTCGTGCGACTTAATTTGCTGTGGTGACCCCTGAAGAAGGGAGCAGCCAAAAGATGAAGTGTGTGTGGCTTCTGGCCTATGAGTTCTTTCAAATTACTTTTGTCCCATGTGGATTCTCAGGTGTGCATTTAAATGGCCCTTCTGAATAAACTTGTTTACACAGGTCACAAGAAAAGGGCATCTATTGGGTGTGGATTATCATGTGTCTGTTTAAATGGCCCTTGTTGGTAAACCTTTGTTCACACAGATGACAAGGGCTTCTGTCTTGTGTGGATCATCATATGTTTCTTTAAACTGCTCTTTTCTGTAAACTTTTTACTACACTGATCACAACAAAATGGCTTCTGTCCTGTGTGGATCATCATGTGTCTGTTTAAATGAACCTTTTGAATGAAACTTTGTTCACACAGATTACAAGAAAAGGGCTTCTGTTCTGTGTGGATTTTCATGTGTCTATTTAAATCTCCCTTTTCGATAAACCTTTGTTCACACTGATCACAACAAAATGACTTCTGTCCTGTGTGGAGTTTCACGTGTCTGTTTAAATGGCGCTTTTGAATGAACCTTTGTTCACATAGATCACAAGAAAATGGCTTCAGTCCTGTGTGGATTTTCATGTGTCTGTTTAAATGGCCCTTTTGAATGAACCTTTGTTCACACAGATCACAAGAAAATGGCTTCTGTCCTGTGTGGATTCTCATGTGTCTTTTTAAACATACCTTTTCGGTAAACCTTTTTCCACACACATCACAAGAAAATGGTTTCTGTCCCGTGTGAATTTTCATGTGATTTTTTAAACTACCCTTTTCAGTAAACCTTTTTTCACACAGATCACAAGAAAATGGCTTCTGTCCCGTGTGGACTTTCATGTGATTTTTTAAATTACTCTTTTCAGTAAATCTTTTTTCACACAGATCACACAAAAAGGGTTTCTGTCCAGTGTGGATTTTCATGTGTCTGTTTAAACATCTGTTAAGATTGAATCTTCTCCCACAAACATCACAACAAAATGGCTTCAGTCCATTTTTGTTGTGGACCCTGTTCACAATTGACTCAGAGACCCTGCTGGGTGAAGACTCCCGGGCTTCATCAGTGTGTTCAGTTTTTAACCCAAAGTCTGAGAAAAGTTTCAGCTGAGACTCAGGATTGTTCACATCATTATCATCTTCATCATCTTCACTAACTTCAGTTTCTGAAGAATCAGAATCTCTATAAGCATTTAGATCTGGGTATTTTGAATCTTTTTCTCCTTCACCAGTTGATGATTCTATGTGGTCACCTGAGCTGCTGGTTGGAAGATCACGGACTTCAACTTGGTGTTGATGAAGCTGTGAGAACAGATGTTTCTCGTCATCATCCTCACTCTTAAAAGGAACTGCAGTTAATGAAAAGCTGGTGACATCTGTCTCCTCCTTCATACTGAGCTGCTCTCCTCCCAAAATGGTCCACTGTTCCTCCTCTTCCTCTTTTATGTGGAGGCAATTTGTGTCCTGCTGGTCCACATCAGGCCACTGTTCTTCAGGAGCTTCTTCTTTAATCAGCACTGACTTCTGATCATCTGTAGGAACCACTGGAACACATGTAAAATACAGTAAGGAGAACTGTAGCTTTATATTCACACATACATGATTTGTTTTACTGCTCAGATCACAGAGTTATTTTTTCCTCCAAACAGGTTCCAGTGCTAAACCAGAACCAAAGTGTGCTTAGCCCCAGCTCTTTCCTTTAATAACACTATAAGCTGTGGCTTTAGCACCCCAGCAACTCAGCACAAACTGTTTAAATGTGTAATATGAGTGTAAATAAATTGTATTTGAGTGTGTTGGAGACAGATAAATGTTTCTCAGTCATAACTAGTGAAAGTATGTTGTACATCACCAGATTCAGGCATGTAAAAAAATTAAATATATTGGTGTGTGCGGCTTCTTGCCTATGAGTTCTTTCAAATTACTTTTCCCCCCAGTGTGACTTCTCATGTTTGTTTAAATTGGCTTTACTGGTAAACATTTGGTCACATAGAAGGCTTTTGTCCTGTCTGGATTCGCAAGTGTGCATTTAAATTGCCATTTTGGGATTTTTTTTGATTACACAGATCATAAGAAAATGGCTTCTGCCATGTGTGTATTTCCATAAGTCTATTAATGTTTCTTAAAATTTAACCTTTGCCCCAAGCATCACAACAAAATGGCTTCTGTCCATTTTTTGTTGTGGAACCTGTTCACAGTTGACTCAGAGTCCCTGCTGGGGTCTTAGCATTTAGATCTGTTTTTTTTTTTTTTGAATATTTTTCTCCTTCACCAGTTGATGATTCTATGTGGTCACCTGAGCTGCTGGTTGGAAGATCACCGACTTCAACTTGGTGTTGATGAAGCTGTGAGAACAGAGGTTTCTCTTCATCATCCTCACTCTTAAAATGAACTGCAGTTAATGAAAAGCTGGTGACATCCGTCTCCTCCTTCATACTGAGCTGCTCTCCTCCCAAAATGGTCCACTGTTCCTCCTCTTCCTCTTTTATGTGGAGGCAATTTGCATTCTGCTGGTCCACATCAGGCCACTGTTCTTCAGGAGCTTCTTCTTTAATCAGCACTGACTTCTGAACATCTGCAGGAACCACTGGAACACATGTAAAACACAGTAATGAGGACTGTAGCTTTATATTCACACATACATGATTTGTTTTACTGCTCAGATCACAGAGTTATTTTTTCTCCTCCAAACAGGTTCCAGTGCTAAACCAGAGCCAAAGAGTGCTTAGCCCCAGCTCTTTCATTTTACAACACTTTAAGCTGTGGCTTTAACACCCCACCAACTCAGTACAAACTGTTTAAATGTGTTTTTTTCTTTTAACAAAAACATTTCAAGTGTTTAACCAGTCTGGTGCTACAGATGGTTCCTAAACGGTTCTTTAAAAATAAAGTTAAGCAACAAGAAGAGGCGGTGCCTCAACACCCTCTCCTTCCTCCCATTCATCCCTACATTCTACTTCACACCCACCTCCAGGAGAGTGGAAATAATATCCCATACCTGGTTTTGCATGTAGTGATCAACAATTTTAAATATTCATGTGGTAATTTGGGGTTTCAATTGTTAGCTTTTATGTAGTAAAACTAAAAATGTAAATATTTAGTTAATCGATGGTCTTTAAAATCAGCACTTTAGGGTTTGTAACCTCTCATACTTTATTTAATCTGTTAGCAAGCTCAGCTATAAACAGAGTTACACATGTCCTTTCCAGGAAGATAAATTCATTAATTACCAGAAAGCTCAGACTAAACTGTAACATAATCACATTCAACACAAATAATAAAAAGATACAAACCTATTATATGCAGTTGATCGTTGGGACTGAAAACTGCATCTATGATTTGGCTTCCTCCAGTTGTTTCCTGTTCAAGAGCATCTCTACTTCCAAGGAAAACCTCCATTTCTTCTTCCTCTGCATCCAGGTGCTGCTGGACCTGCTGTCTCCACATCTGTTAGCTTTCGTTCATCACTATTTACCTTCAACATTAACCGAGTAGTTACAGCTGAATAGAACTCAAAATTAAACTAATTTCACCAGAAGCGGAGAGAAAAGAGGCTTACTTTATGAGTTCGTCGATACGGAACATGGAGAACACAGTGAACGTACGAACCGAACAACTTCCGCTGCAAGGAGGAAATCACTTCCGTTATTAATTAGCCTTCAAAATAAGAGCTGGACGGAACTGTTGTTCAGCACTATAACCAGCCCCTGAACTGTTTGCGTTTTTTTATGCTTTAGGATACCTTGTTTTTTAAGCACTTATATTCTTTTCTTTTAAATTATGTTTTTACCATGTTATTTATCGTATCAATCACTTGTATTTTTGTTGTGTACTTTTGATGGATCTTCTCTCATCCCTGGTGATGAATTATATTTTGGTATCTGAACATTTTTATAATCCATCAATCAATCATACTTTTGCAAAAATCAAACGACTAGAAAAATTAATCCATATATAACTGAGTGATTTTTAAAAAAATGTGCAAATATAAATAAACCATAAATGTAAAATAGCTTATCCTTTAAGTTCATTTAATGTAAAATCGAGAATTTCAAGTAGCTAAAAGAACTCCAAGAATGACAAGAAACTGAGCCAATTAAACTTACTTTCAGTATTGTTATTCTTCTTTATGTTTATCATTTGTTGCCAATTTTATCTCTCAGCTGCTCCGTTTTTTCTCCTCCATCTCACTCTTAATCTTTCATTGCAGTTTCCTCAGTTTGTCCCTGAGTCAAAATTTTGTATGAAAACTGTGCACTCTGCTGACACTCGAGTCCCCAGATGGCTGACTCCTTTTGATACAAAGAAGAAGTAGCCACTTGTATCCAGGAGTTTGATCTTTCAGTAAAAATCCAAACCTCATCCCTATGTGAAGGTTGGAACATAGACAATCCATTAAATCAAGAGCTTTTCTGTTTGTGTGGCAGTATGGCCTTTTTATGTTACTTGCATGTTTTATTTTTATACTTTGCTGTTTTTGGATTAATTTGGGGTTATGTTGCATGTAACTTTGCTGATTATTTTCTTTTGTGCATTTTTGTTTGAGGCTGGGATTTCCAACCATGACACGGCCAGAGACGTCCACTAACAGCTCACACAAGTGTTCCCTATCAGCTGTCATGGCATGAAAGTTGTTGTTGTTACTCACCGTTGTCATCACTCTTTGTTAAGAAATCAAGTCTCTCTTGTAAATGAGTCCCCGAGGCTCAATGGGATTAACCTGTATAAATAAAGGTTGAATGAAAAAAGAATGACTGTTTTTCTTTTCCATTTTGTACTTTTGTTGGATGTAACTGGGACCCTGTCTATGCAATTTTGTTCCACCACATGTACCACATGTGCGTATGATAAATAAATTTGATTTTGACTAAAGCAACATCCTCATTACTCAGAACGAGGCCTCCTGCATCCATCTTCGTTGTACAATCACTTGTGAACAAGATGCTCAGATACTTCAAACTCCTCTACCTAAAGGGCCCAGCACACACCATTCGAAGCTAAACAGTTGACTCACGGTCACACGATTGTGGGATGTTAGTTTTCGCACACACCTTTTATAGTGCATGGGACACAGGCGTAGAGCACCTGGGTAACCTCTCCCCCCGCAGTATACATCACTGCACGGGTTTCTTCCTGCCAGGGTCTCCACTCCGTACCTGCATCTGCTGTTTGGCTACAAATCTATCACGAAAGTAGCTGGGTGGTAGATGTATTTTTTCCACTTTAGTTGAATAACTATCCCGTTTAAGGTGTAATGTAACGTACTGAGGTGTTGATTTACTTTTTTTGGTCATAGCAGAAATGCTATTGAGTAATTTTGTTTTATTTATGCCATTTTCTTTGTTATCTGTGTATTTTGCACACTTAAATATGTTCATATAGTTGTTCTCTATTGTTGCACAGTTTGACCACCAGAGGGCAGTGCTTAAAATCTATTACTGTTTTCCCAAGACTGGATATAAAATGCATCTTGGGACTTATTGTTTGCTGTACTACGCTTGGAGGTGAACTGTGATTTATCATAAGGCGCTAATACTGGCAGAAAATCGGTAAATATGCACATAACTTGCACATAACTTGGAAACAAAAGGCCGTTAAACCAGACCAGGGATGAAGAAGGGGAATTTAATACATTGGTGTCGCATACAAAACAGTCCGTTGCTGGGCAGTTTATTGTTCGACACTGAGTACGCAGTCGTAAAAATTGATCATTGCACAGACATGCCCTGTGGGCGTCCGCTTCGAGTATAATCTGGTATGCGCCGACCTCCGCGGACTGAGGTACGCGCGACTATGTGGGAGTCTTTAGTGTCCAAATTCTTTGTTGTGATATAGACATACAAAACATAGACTACAAATTTAAAATCAGTTGGTATGCATGAATTTATTTTATTGAGATATTTATTCAGTATTACACAGGTACACTGAAGATTCTTATATAGTTACAACTGTAGTCTGTGAATGTTACGTACGGTACATTACAAGGAAAAAGAGTAACAGATGAGCGTTAATAAATTTTATGAGTTTGTTCGAGACAAATAAATGTTTCTCAGTTACAACTAGTGAAATTATGTTGTCCATTACCAGATTCAGGCATGTAAAAAAGTTAATTTAAATATATTAGTAGATGTGTGTGTGTGGTTTGTTGCCTATGAGTTCTTTCAAATTACTTTTCCCCCAGTGTGGATTCTCATGTGTTGGTTTAAACTGGCCTTACTGGTAAACATCCCGTCACACAAATCACAACAAAAGGGCTGTTGTCCTGTGTGAATTCTCAGGTGTGCATTTAAATAGTCTTTTTGGGAAAATTTGCTAACACAGATCACAAGAAAAGGACTTCTATTGTGTGTGGATTTTCATGTGTTTCTTTAAATTGCCCTTTTCGGTAAACTTTTGACTACACTGATCACAACAAAATGGCTTCTGTTCTGTGTGGATTTGCACATGTTTTTTCAAACTACTCTTTTCAGTAAAACTTTTTTCACACAGATCACAAGAAAAGGGCTTCTGCCCTGTGTGGATTTTCATGTGTCTGTTTAAAATACCCTTTTCGTTAAACCTTTTTTCACAAAGATCACAAGAAAAGGGTTTCTGTCCTGTGTGGATTCTTATGTGTCTCTTTAACTCTCCCTTTTCGCTAAACCTTTTTTCACACAGATCACAAGAAAATGGCTTCTGTCCTGTGTGGATTTTCATGTGTCCGTTTAAACTGTCCCTTCTTGCAAACCGTCGGCCACATAGATCACAACAAAATGGCTTTTGTCCTGTGTGAATTTTCATGTGGTTTTTTAAATTACTTTTTTCAGTAAACCTTTTTTCACACAAATCACAAGAAAATGGCTTCTGTCCTGTGTGAATTTTCATGTGTTTATTTAAATTACTCTTTTCAGTAAACCTTTTTTCACACAGATCACAAGAAAAGGGCTTCTGCCCTGCATGGATCATCATGTGTCTCTTTAAAGCTCCCTTTTCACTAAACCTTTTTTCACAAAGATCACAAGAAAAGGGCTTCTGTCCTGTGTGGATTCTTGTGTGTCTCTTTAAATCTCCCTTTTCACTAAACCTTTTTTCACACAGTTCACAAGAAAAAGGCTTCTGTCCTGTGTGGATTTTCATATGTTGTTTTAAATTACTCTTTTCAGTAAACCTTTTTTCACACAGATCACAAGAAAAGGGCTTCTGCCCTGCATGGATCATCATGTGTCTCTTTAAATCTCCTTTTGCGCTAAACCTTTTTTCACACAGATCACAAGAAAAGGGCTTCTGTCCTGTGTGGATTTTCATGTGTCTGTTTAAAACTCCCTTTTCGTTAAACTTTCGTTCACACAGTTGACAAGAAAAGGGCTTCTGTCCTGTGTGGATTCTTACGTGACTATTTAAATGTCCCTTAAAATTGAACCTTCGCCCACAAACATCACAGCCAAATGGCTTCAGTCCATTTTTGTTGTGCTCAGACTCAGGATTGTTCACATCATTATCACCAACTTCATCATCCTCACTGACTTCAGTTTCTGAAGAATTAGAATAGTCTCTATAAGCATTTAGATCTGGGGTTTTTGTATATTCTTCTCCATCACCAGTTGCTGATTCTATGTGGTCACCTGAGCTGCTGGTTGGAAGATCATGGACTTCAACTTGGCGTTGATAACGCTGTGAGAACAGAGGTTTCTCTTCATCATCCTCACTCTTGAAAGGAACTGCAGTTAATGAAAAGCTGGTGACATCTGTCTCCTCCTCCATACTGAGTTGCTCTCCCCCCAAAATGGCCCACTGTTCCTCCTCTTCCTGTTTTATGTGGAGGCAATTTGCATCCTGCTGGTCCACATCAGGCCACTGTTCTTCAGGAGCTTCTTCTTTAATCAGCACTGACTTCTGAGCATCTGCAGGAATCACTGAAAAACATGTAAAATATAGTAAGGAGAACTGTAGCTTTATATTCACACATACGTGATTTGTTTTACTGCTCAGATCAGTTATTTTTCTCCTCCAAACAAGTTCCAGTGGTAAACCAGAGCCAAAGAGTACTTTCCTTTTATTTATTAACCTTTATTTAACCAGGCAAATCCCACTGATATCACAGATCTTTTTTGTAAGGGAGGCCTGGGCCTGAAGGCAACATAACATGCATGTTTTTGGTTCAAAACCAAGGAAGTCCATGCTCAATAATCCAGGTATACAATCCAACAATTTTCAGTCAGGTCATCTGGACAGTCCAGATGACCTGACTGAAAATTGTTGACCAGACCAGATTACGGTTAGCCTAAACACCGGTTAAAGGGTGTCCGAACAGAAGACATATCCCTACAGTTGAATGAATGAAAAACGATAGACAATAAATAACTAAAATTAGTAGGTGCTCTTGAGGTGTCTTATTTTGCCATGATCATATTGATGAAATGATTTCTTTTGAAGGTATCTGTCAGTCATGGGCTTTGTCATCAACTTGGACACATTGTTGAGGATGATCCCAGACCTGCTCCAAGTTCTGCATTACAGTGGGTACGGAAAATATTCAGACCCCTTTAAATTTTTCACTGTTTCATTGCAGCCTTTTGCTAAAAATCAAAAAAGTTCATTTTATTTCTCATTAATGTACACTCAGCACCCCATATTGACATAAAAAACAGAACTGTAGAAATTTTAGCAAATTTATTAAAAAAGAAAAACTGAAATATCAAGGGTCAAAACTCATTTAGCCATGCTGTGCCTTATGAGAGGAACAGTGAAAGCGCAACATTAATAAAGCAGCATCTTATATCGTTAAAGACACGGTCCTTAGTGGCTAACAAGACGGCTAATACTTTAACAGTCTTGTTTCACAGATGAGACTGGGACCGTGTCTTTAGCAATATAATAAGCTGCTGCTTTATTAATGTTGCGGTGCCACCTCTCTCTGTTCCTTTCATAAGGCACCGCACGGCTAAATGAGTTTTGACCCGTGGTTTGTTTCAGGGAAGGAGGCTGAAGTCTGTCGGACTTGCAGCTGCAGTTGACACGTTTACTAATGTTGTGAAGGTGGCGCAGCGGAAGAGTGTTATTGTTATAAATTCCCTAGTGTAATTGCATGTTCTGAGCAGGATCTGTTTAGTGCTAGAGTCAGTGTTTTTACATTAGGCACCTTGTTGGGCAGCTAAGGGGTCCTTGGGAATGTATAAAGTTGTTCACTGTGATTCTGGTTCTTTTTACATTGATGCCTGTCTGCGTTTGTGATAAAGGTGAGCTATAACAAGTTAATAATTGCTATTTAGTTATTTTCATATGAAAATAAATTATGAATATGCAAATTTCAGCACTAATATATGTTAGCATGTTAGCATCACTTGTGTAGGAATGTCATTTAGTGTTTTATTGTTCTAACTGACTTGCTAACAGTCATTTAAGTTGAAACTATGCCTCAAGTTACCATGTGCTTGATTTAGTCTTCTCAGTTATACTATGTTTCTTTATTTCAGATATCAGACAGACAGAGTCAGAGACGGGTTGTAGAGAACAGGACAAACTACAAGTGACTATCAATGAACACAAAGATGTATGGAAGTTGGAGTGTGCTTAATTAAATCTGAAGACTGTTCTACTGTGTCCGGCCTCGCTCTCTGATCGGAGTGTGGATGAGGTGTTTCTGCGAATCCCCTAAAATAACATACAGTCCTAACTATTCATCACAGTTATTATTTAATATATGTAAATAAATGTCTAAAAAACAAACTATTTAATATATGTAAATAGTGTATTTTTTAGACATTTATTTTGTATAGTTACAGCTGTTTACTTTATGTGCCTGTGTGATAGTTGGGACAAAGCTTTGACTCAGAAGCATATTTTTGTTAGCACAATCACAACTTGTACTTATATATGTAAATAAATGTCTAAAAAACAAACTTTAATATATATAAACAGTTTATTTATTAGACAATTATTTTGTACTGTTACAGCCGTTTGTTACTATATGTGCCTGTGTGACAACTGGGACAAAGCTTTGACTCTGAAATATATTTGTTATCACTTCATGGACAGAAAAAAATATTGAGATATACACCGTATATTGCGATTTATCCTAAAATAACGAGATAATCATTTTGATCCATAACGCTCAGCCTTAAACAGAAAGAATAAAAAAATACAAACCTATTATATGCAGTTGATCGTTGGGATTGACCCTTGACTCAGAGACCCTGCTGGGTGAAGACTCCCAGGATTCATCAGTGTGTTCAGTTTTTAACCCAGAGTCTGAAAAAGGTTTCAGCTCAGAGCCAGGATTGTTCACATCATTATCCTCTTCATCATCTTCAGTTTCTGAAGAATCAGAATCATTTCTATAAGCATTTAGATCTGGGTTTTTTGTATCTTCTTCTCCTTCACCAGTTGATTCTATGGGGTCACCTGAGCTGACTTGAACTTGGTGGTGATGAAGCTGTGAGAACAGAGGTTCCTCGTCATCATCCTCACTCTTAAAATGAACTGCAGTTACTGAAAAGCTGCTGACATCTGTCTCCTCCTTCATACTGAGCTGCTCTCCCCCCAAAATGGTCCACTGTTCGTCCTCTTCTTCTTTTATGTGGAGACAATTTGTGTCCTGCAGGTCCACATCAGGCCACTGCTGGTCCACATCTGGCCACTGTTCTTCAGGAGCTTCTTCTTTAATCAGCACTGACTTCTGAACATCTGCAGGAACCACTGAAACACATGTAAAATACAGTAAGGAGAACTGTAGCTTTATATTCACACATACATGATTTGTTTCACTGCTCAGATCACAGTTATTTTTTCTCCTCCAAACAGGTTCCAGTGCTAAACCAGAGCCAAAGAGAGCTTAGCCCCAGCTCTTTCATTTTACAACACTTTAAGCTGTGGCTTTAGCACCCCACCAACTCAGAGCACAGTTTAAATGTGTATTATTTCTTTTAACTAAAACGTTTCAAGTGTTTAACCAGGCTGGTGCTAGAGATGGTTCCTAAACGGTTCTTTAAAAATAAAGTTAAGAAACAAGAAGAGGTGGTGCCTCAACACCCTCTCCTTCCTCCCAAGATCCCTACATTCTACTTCACATCCACCTCCAACTAGAGCCCTAAGCCCGGCCCCACCTGACCCAAATTCGGGGCGGGCCAGGCCATGATAATGTGCTTAATGGGCGGACCGGGTAGGTGTCGGGTTTTAATTGAATCAGAATCAGCCGCGATCCAATTATATGATGACACGGCCTGCCATAAAATCACCAGTCGCACGCGGCCATTTCACCATGAGCTGACCGGCCTTGAAAGAGGTAAAAAGTTCAGTTAAGCTTCAGATGGGACTGTACTGCCAGGAAGTGATCCATCACCCAAATAGACGTTCATTCAGCCGTTGCACTCGGCGGACGCATGCGGCCTACGATCCAAAAAGGCGAGATCATAAAGCAGACGCGTCGGAGCGGTTCGTGTCTGAATAAATCAGAATGCAGAAACAGGGTTTAAATGCTCTTTATAGGCCATGAAAGGACAAACACCACCTCAGCTCCGATCTTCTGCATCTTTTGTTCAGGTGCGCATCCCCGACGACAGGTGTATCCCAAAGCAGACGTGAGACAGAACTGTCTGCGTGTCTGAGTAATTCAGAAGAATGCAGGCAGAAACTGGATTTAAATGCTCTTTTATGGCCATGAAAGGACAAACACCACCTCAGTTCCGATCTTCTGCCCTTTTTATTCAACCATGCGTCCCCGACCATTAACTAAAAATGTCAGGGGTTTTTTCCAGGTTCGTACCTGTAATTACTGTTAATTTGTCGGGTCGTGTGGGGTTTGGAAATGATGACTGCAGGCTGGGGCTGTGTCGGATCAGATGTTTTGGGCCCGAATGCAACTCTACCTCCAACAGGGTGGAAATAATACTCTGTGCCTGGTTTTGCCCATGAAGTGATCAACAATTTTAAATATCTGTGTGACAATTTGGGGTTTCAATTGTTAGCTTTTATGTAGTAAAACTAAAAATGTAAATATTTAATTTAGCAAAGAGCTTTAAAATCAGCACTTTAGGGTTTGTAACCTCTCATACAATATTTAATCTGTTAACAAGCCCAGATACAGAGTTGCATGCCCATCCCAGGGAGTCAAATTTATCAGCTACCAGAAAGCTCAAACTGTAACATAATCACATTCAACAGAAATAATAAAAAGATACAAACCTATTATATGCAGATGATCGTTGGGACTGAGAACTGCATCTAAGATTTGGCTTCCTCCAGTTGTTTCCTGTTCAAGAGCATCTCTACTTCCAAGGAAAACCTCCATTTCTTCTTCCTCTGCATCCAGGTGCTGCTGGACCTGCTGTCTCCACATCTGTTAGCTTTCGTTCATCACTATTTACCTTCAACATTAACCGAGTAGTTACAGCTGAATAGAACTCAAAATTAAACTAATTTCACCAGAAGCCGAGAGAAAAGAGGCTTAATTCGACGATTCAGAACATGGAGAACACAATGAACGTACCGTAAGAACCGAACAGCTTCCGCTGCAAGGAGGAAATCACTTCCGTTATTAGCTAGCCTTCAAAATAAGAGCTTGAACGGAACTGTTGTTCAGCACTATGACTAGCCCCTGAACAGTTTGAGGTTTTTTATGCTTTAGGATACCTTGTTTTTTAAATCACGTATATTATTTCATTTTACATTATATTTTTACCATGTTCTTTATCATATCAGTCATATGTATTTTTGTTGTGTACTTTTGGTGGATCTTCTCTCATCCCTGGTGCCGAATTATATTTTGGTATCTGAACATTTTTATGATCCATCAATCAATCAATCATAATTTTGCAAAAAAATAAAACGACTAGAATAATTCATCCGTATATAATTTAGTGATTTTGTTTAATATGCAAATATAAATAAACCATAAATGTAAAATAGCTTATCCTTTAAGTTCATTTAATGTAAAATCAAGAATTTCTAGTAGCTAAAAGAACTCCAAGAATGACAAGCAACCGAGAAAAATTAAACTTACTTTCTGTATTGTTATTCTTCTTTATGTTTATCATTTGTTTATATTTGTTGACATTTTTATCTCTCAGCTGTTCCGTTTTGTCTCCTCTATCTCACTCTGAATCTAAATATTTCATCGCAGTTTCCTCAGTTTGTCCCCGAGTCAAAATTTTGTATGAAAACTGTGCACTCTGCTGACACTCGAGTCCCCAGATGGCTGACTCCTTTTGATACAAAGAAGAAGTAGCCACTTGTATCCAGGAGTTTGATCTTTCTGTCGAGATCCAAACCTCATCCCTATGTGAAGGTTGGAACATAGACAACAGCCAGGGACAAGCTGGTAGTCAGATTAGCAGAATCTAAGGGCATGGTGATTAAATGCAGAGGCAAAACGAGGGTAATGACGCACAGAAGAGACCAACGAGGCTTTGATCAGAGGCATGGTTGGGACGTGGAGCCAAGCACCCAGCTCCGGTGGAACATGCACAGTTGGAAGATGCGGAGTCGTCCAGGTCTGGTGTCAAGATCGGTGGATCAAGCGTTGGAGGTCGCTGGAGGTCGAGGTTGCCATGGGATGCCGGACTTGGGGAGGGTCAAGCGCTGGGTGATCGCTGGAGGTCGAGGCCATAGAGCACAGGTGTCAAACTCCAGGCCTCGAGGGCTGGAGTCCTGCAACTTTTAGATGTGTCTCTGATGCCACACTGCTGAATCAAATAAGGAGGTCATTAGCAGGACTTTGGAGAACTTGACTGCACTGAGAAGCTAATTCAGTCATATGATTCAGCTGTGTGGCACAGAAACAAATCTAAAAGTTGCAGGACTCCGGCCCTCGAGGCCTGGAGTTTGAAACCCCTGCATTGCTTGAGGTCAAGACCGCCTAGAAACGCTGTGCAGACAGCGAGAGGGCCACGTCCACCTTTCAGCTAAGACTCTGCTTCTTTTTCCTCATCCTTAAGGCTGTTACTGACCCTGATTCCCCTCATTTAATATTTTTATTCTAAAGACCATTATAAACCTGTTGGTTTTAAAATTTAGACTGTCTACTGCTTTCTTAATTGTAATAAATTATTTTAAAACCTTAACCGGCTGGTTAGTGAAACACTGCTCACTCTTGCGGTCGTTTACCAAATTTTTATTCCTAGTTTAACAAGGTGGCGCTGCTGACTTGTTTCATTTTCCTTCTGTCTGCTTAAAATAACAAGTACCCTACTCTCCTTCCCACATTTGACTCAACTCTTTCTACACCTAGATTGACCGAAGCAACATCCTCATTACTCAGAATGAGGCCTTCATCCATCAAGCTATCTCCATTCTACCTTCACTCATAAACAAGATGCTCAGATACTTAAAACTACTGTAAAGGGCCCAGGATACCATTCAAAGCCAAAATGTTGACTCACGGTCATGTGACTGTGGGCTGCCGTATACATCACTGCACAGGTTTCATCCTGCCAGGGTCTCCATTCCGTACCTGCATCTGCCGTTTGGCCACAAATCTATCATGAAAAAAGCACCACACTTTTCAGCAGACAGACTCCTCCATACACAATGTCTACACGATCTCCATTCAGGAGTTTTTGACCATTTGACTAATTTTGTGTTTGAAGTCGTACAGTTGAATGTCTGAGCGAATTTTTGAATTGATGAACACGCTCACAAACTTCTGACCAATCACACAATTCTTGGTTCATACGCTTGTGAGAAAAAGTTCAACCCAAGCCTTGTGTCTAGATGGGATGGGCAAAGCTGTTCTGAAAACAAAATGATGCAATGTTCGTCATGCAGATACGTCAATGAGAGCAGATTTTGCTGCTTCAGATGAAGCATGCAGAGCCCTTGAGGCAAAGACTTCTCCCGGGCATTCCACCTGTTCTAGAAACTACTCCAACATTTCAATCACTCTCTTCCCTTAATAGACCTTTTTCACGACAACCGGAAGTAGCGTCTCATGGTGCTGGGTCACTTCCTGTTATTGCGAGTCTATGCAAATGCCAGCCTTTTCTTTCGCTGATGTGGAGGAAATCGCAGCGGCGAATTCTTGAACCAATAAACTTGAGAAAGGATAAAAGTTCTTCCATGCAGAATATATCTGCGGCTATCAAGGTAAGAAAAGATGTATCTTAGCGAGCTAACCATTAGCTATAACATATGAAGTACATAAACATCGTAATAAAGCCTAATTTAATGTGCTAAATTATTTGGAATATTTGAGACAGACGTGGTATAAACGTTTAACTGATATTTTAACATTCTGATATGCGTTTGCCATTACAGTATGTGAAAGAAAACATACTAGTTATAAGATGTTATGATGCTTGATGTTCAAATTGTGCTTTACTTCTGCATAAGTACAGGTCAAATATTGTCGAGGGACAGGTAGATGTCAGAGCTAGATGCTTTATTTATGACAGCTGAAGAACTTTGACGTACGATGGACAACTTCTGTACTACTGAGAGCTTACAGTAACATCTTTCTTGCTCAGTGGTTAGTTTGTCTTCTGTTGTTGTAGCAGCATAGTCTGTTTTGTTCTGCTGCTGTTTCAGCTCATCTTCAAATTACAATCTATTACTTGTTTAAAGCTAAATATGTTATAACAAGTATTATAAGTATGTGCTAAAAACAGTTATCTGTTTTAGATCTCACTGGGTGACAGCAGGAGAAAAACTATGTCAGCTGGAGTCCCAACCACTTATCGCACGTCTTAAGTTTGGAGCTGGTACCAACCAGATGTGGTCCTGTACCACAGGGCTCACAGATGTTTTACCAGTGCCCACCTGAGAAGTCCTGCGTAGCATCATTCTGCACCACATGGCTCCACACTTCCCTGATCTTCCTCTGATGCTGCAGTCTTCCCAACGCATTTTGTGTCCACACTTCACATCTTCAGTCTCTGCAAGTGTCACTGGAAACGTCTCCTCAGAGGCCAGAACCAGGGAGCAGTCCAGATGTTCTGCAGGCGTACAGCTTCTACAACCAAGGCTTACTGCTGTTTCCGTGTTGCAGAAGAAGTGTGGAGGAGGAGTCTGCTGACATGTTTTACTTCAACACCTTCATCCATGTGTTCATATCAATGCAGTAAGAATCATAAAATGTACAAATCACCCTTTTGTCCCTTCATATTTTTAATATTCAGTCTCAAGCTGTGAATCACTGTAAATAATGTAAATAGTTGTTACTCATGAAAAATACATAAATGTGCTAATTTCTTTAAAATGAAATTGCATAATTTGGGAAAAATATCTATAATCCACTATCAATTTATAGTGTACAGTTATACAATGTTAAATAGTTCAGTTTTTTTTTTTACTAGATATTGTAAATTACACTTGTTTTCTTTTCAATACAACTGAATCAATCTACAAATTAAATAAAAAAAACAGTACAGTATGCTGCACGAGTGTGTTTTAATTGAAGAATGTTTAGACCCTCCAATAACCAATAAATAATTACCAAGCGGTGTGCAGCCTTGGCTGTTCCTGAGGCAAAAGCTTGGATGTGGGAGGAGTTCGGTGAGACCTTGGATAGAGACTCTCGGTCGGCTCTGAGGAGATTCTGGCAAACCATCAGGCAGCTGAGGAGGGGAAAGCAGCACTTTACTAACACTGTGTTCAGTGAAGGTGGGGTGTTGTTGACCTCAAGCAGTGATGTCGTCGGGAGGTGGAAGGAATACTTCTCGGACCTTTTCAATCCCACTAGCACGTCTTCCATGGAGGAAGCTGAGTCAGGGGACTTTGGGGTTGATCCGTCCATAACCGTGGCTGAAGTTGCCAAGGTAGTTAAAAAGCTCAGAGGCGGCAGGGCTCCGGGAGTGCATGAGATTCACCTTGATTTCCTTAAGGCTCTGGATGTTGTGGGGCAGTCTTGGCTGACACGCCTTTGTAACATCGCGTGGACATCCGGGGCAGTGCCACTGGATTGGCAGACTGGGGTGGTGGTTCCCCTCTTCAAAAAGGGGGACCGGAGGGTGTGCTCCAATTATAGGGGCATCACTCTCCTTAGCCTCCCTGATAAGGTCTATTCAGGGGGATTGGAGAAGTGAGTCCAATCGTTGGTCGAACCTCAGATCCAGGAGGAACAATGTGGGTTCCGTTCTGGCCGTGGAACACTGGATCAGCTCCTTCAGGGGTCATGGGAGTTTGCCCATCCAGTCTACATGTGTTTTGTGGACTTGGAAAAGGCATTTGACCATATTCCTCGGGGTACACTGTGGGGGTTGCTCCATGAGTATGGGACTGGAGACTCATTAAGGGCTTTTTAGTCCCTATACAAGCGATGCGAGAATTTGGTTCACATTGCCGGCAGTAAGTCAGATCCCTTCAGGGTGGGAGTTGGACTCCGCCAGGGCTGCCTGTCGTCACCAATTCTGTTCATAACTTTTATGGACAGAATTTCTCGGTGCGGCCAGCTGACAGAGAGTTTCCGGTTCGGTGGTCTCAGGATTCCATCTCTGCTCTTTGCAGATGATGTGGTCCTGTTGGCATCATCGTGCCATGATCTTCAGCTCTCATTGGAGCAGTTCGCAGCAGAGTGTGAAGCGGCTGGGATGAGAATCAGCACCTTCAAATCTGAGGCCATGGTCCACAACCGGAAAAAGGTGGATTGCTCTCTTCAGATTGAGGTTCTGCCTCAAGTGGAGGAGTTCAAGTATCTCGGGATTTTGTTCACGAGTGAGGGAAGAATGGAGCGTGAGATTGAGACGGATTGGTGCAGCATCTGCAGTAGGAATGTGCGATATGGCATAAAATTCATATCACGATATGTATTGTGAAGAGTGGTGATAATATATATCACAATATGTTTTTGGTATAAAACTTGCAATGGGAATTTTTAAAAAAAGCATAGGGTGTCCTTTTGCCATCATAAATTTTGAATTAAGAAAATTCCACAACTAGGTCCAGAGAGTTTTAAAATAAACAAATCAAGTATTCGGCTTCTTTCTTGTAGTGCAAAACAGTGCAAAAGATATCAAATGTAGTTTTAGCCATATGTTTTAAACAAAATATGTTGTTAACTCAACAGTTTCCAGTATTCTCACTTGAGAAATGAACAGCAACAGAGCAGCATTTTACACTGAAACACCTCACCCACCAACCTTCTAGTTGTCACCTCCTTCCGCTTTAATTGAGAGCTGACACAAAATGAGTCTGTGGCTTTGACCAGAGGGTCTTGCAGTAAAATCACACAACACAGCGTTCTTTTCACAGATCAAAGAGCAGGTTTCTCTAAAGCTGACCAACGTTTACTTTAACTTTCGACGGAACCCCCCCGCACACACACAAAAAAAACTTTCAACAGAACACAGGGTTTTGCGCATGCATCCGAATACAACAACAATACGGCAAGCCAGCTGTAGTTAGCTTGTAGCTTCATTACTTAGCTCTCGAAGAAAAGACTAACGCCACTTGTGCACAGTTTTCAACTTAAAAAAAGTAACGATTAAACTGACAACTCTTGATTTTACTTCAGACAGCATTACTGCGGTTAGACGGTAGAAGACAGATCTCTATCGTAGGCTAAATTTCTATCATTTCTACCGTATACCGTATGTATCGCACATTCCTAATCTGCAGTATTGCAGACTCTGTACCGGTCCGTTGTGGTGAAGAGAGAGCTGAGCTGTAAGGTAAAGTGCTCTGTTTACTGGTCGGTCTACGTTCCTACCCCTCACCTATGGTCATGAGCTCTGGGTAGTAACCGAAAGAATGAGATTGCAGATACAGGTGGTTGAAATGAGTTTTATCCACAGGGTAGCTGGACTCTCTTAGAGATAGGGTGAGAAGTTCCGTTATTAGGGAGACTCGGAGTTGAACCGCTACTCCTTCACGTCGAGAGGAGCCAGTTCAGGTGGTTCGGGCGTCTGGTAAGGATGCCCCCTGGGCGCCTCCCTAGGGAGGTGCTTCAGGCATGTCCAACTGGGAGGAGACCCGGGGAAGACCCAGGACACGTTGGAGAGACTATGTCTCTCGGTTGGCCTGGGAATGCCTTGGAATCCTCCCAGAAGAGCTGGAAGAGGTGGCTGTGGAAAGAGATGTCTGGGCCACCCTACTCAAGCTGCTGCTCCCGTGACCCAACTTCGGAACAAGTGGAAGATAATGGATGGATGGATGGACCCTCCAATAAATTTGGTAGAATTTATTTGAATCTTCCTCCAGTAGAACAAACCTGCATGTTCTGTTACCATTTAGATTTCCTGGAATATAATTCCAGGTGGTGGTGTTGGATTTCCTTCACTCATTGCAAATTGATCATAGACTTAAAATCCTTCATTATAACTCTCATATTTTAAAATAAAATCCACTCAATCATGCCACAAATATTTATTTAGCATTACAAGGTATACTGAATATTCTTATATACTTACAACTGCAGTTTGTGAATGTTATGTGCTTTACAAGGAAAATGTGTAACAGAGGAGTGGAAATAAATTTTATACGTGTGTTGGAGACAGATAAATGTTTCTTAGTCAAAACTAGTTAAATTATGTTGTCCATCAGGCATGTAAAAAAAAAAAAAAAAAAAAAAAATATATATATATATATATATATATATATATATATATATATATATATATATATTGTGTGCGTGTGTGGCTTCTTGCCCACGAGTTCTTTAAAATTACTTTTTCCCCCCAGTGTGAATTCTCATGTGTTTGTTGAAATTGACCTTACTGGTAAATATTCGATCACAGAGATCACAATAAAATGACTTCTGTCCTGTGTGGATTTTCATGTGTTGTTTTAAATTACCCTTTACAGTAAACCTTTTTTCACAGAGATCACAGGAAAAGGGCTTCTGTCCTGTGTGGATCATCATGTGTGTGTTTAAAGTTCCCTTTTGAATAAACCTTCGTTCACACAGATCACAAGAAAAGGGCTTCTGGCCTGTGTGGATCATCATATGTTTGTTTAAACCGTCCTTTTCGATAAACTTTTGTTCACACAGATCACAAGAAAAGGGTTTCTGTCCTGTGTGCATCATCATGTGTCTGTTTAAATTTCCCTTTCGAATAAACCTTTGTTCACATAAATCACAAGAAAAGGGCTTCTGTCCTGTGTGGATCATCATATGTTTCTTTAAACTGTCCTTTACAGTAAACCTTTTTTCACACAGATCACAAGAAAATGGCTTCTGTCCTGTGTGGATTTTCATGTGTTTTTTTAAACTGCCATTTTCACTAAACCTTTTTTCACACAGAGCACAACAAAAGGGCTTCTGTCCTGTGTGGATTTTCATGTGTCTGTTTAAATATCTGTGAAAATTGAACCTTCGCCCACAAACATCACAACAAAATGGCTTTAGTCCATTTTTGTTGAGGACCCTGTTCACACTTGACTCAGAGACCCTGCTGGGTGAAGACTCCTGGGCTTCATCAGTGTGTTCAACTTTTGACCCAAAGTCTGATAAAGGCTTCAGCTGAGACTCGGGATTGTTCACATCATTATACTCTTCATCTTCACTAACTTCAGTTTCTGAAGAATCAGAATCATCTCTATAAGCACTTAGATCTGGGTTTTTTGAATATTTTTCTCCTTCACCAGTTGCTGATTCTATGTGGTCACCTGAGCTGCTGGTTGGAAGATCACTGACTTCAACTTGGTGTTGATGAAGCTGTGAGAACAGAGGTTTCTCTTCATCATCCTCACTCTTAAAAGGAACTGCAGTTAATGAAAAGCTGGTGACACCTGTCTCCTCCTTCATACTGAGCTGCTCTCCCCCCAAAATGGCCCACTGTTCCTCCTCTTCCTCTTTTATGTGGAAGCAATTTGTGTCCTGCTGGTCCACATCAAGCCACTGTTCTTCAGGAGCTTCTTCTTTAATCAGCACTGACTTCTGAACATCTGCAGGAACCACTGGAACACATGTAAAATACAGTAATGAGAACTGTAGCTTTATATTCACACATACATGATTTGTTCCACTGCTCAGACCAGTTATTTTTTCTCCTCCAAACAGGTTCCAGTGCTAAACCAGAGCCAAAGAGTGCTTAGCCCCAGTTCTTACCTTTAATAACACTTTAAGCTGTGGTTTTAACACCCCACCAACTCAGAACAAACCGTTTAAATTTTTTTTCTTCTTTTAACAAAATCGTTTCAAGTGTTTAACCAGACTGGTGCTACAGATGGTTCCTAAACGGTTCTTTAAAAATAAATTTAAGAAACAAGAAAAGGTGGTGCCTCAACACCCTTTACTTGCTCTCAAGATCCCTACATTCAACTTCACACCCACCTCCAGGAGAGTGGAAATAATATCCTGTGCCTGGATTTGCCCATGTAGTGATCAACCATTTTAAATATTCATGTGGTAATTTGGGGTTTCAATTGTTAGCTTTATGTAGTAAAACTAAAAATGTAAATATTTAGTTTATCAAAGCGTTTTAAAATCAGCACTTTAGGGTTTGTAACCTGTCATACATTTTGTAATCTGTCAGCAAGCTCAGCTATAAACACAGAGTTACACATGTCCTTTCCAGGAAGATAAATTAATTAGCTACCAGAAAACTCAGACTAAACTGTAACATAATCACATTCAACAGAAATAATAAAAATATACAAACCTATTATATGCAGTTGATCGTTGGGACTGAAACCTGCATCTCTTACCTCAGCTTTATAACATGTACCCCACACTCATTGTTCTTTGAATTGAGAAAGCTTCTCGGATGAGAAGCAAATCGTCTTCTGTTACAAATAAAGTCCAGTTGTTTTTGTCTTGAATCTTTTTGAATTTACCATGTCCTGGATAACTGAGAATCTTCACCAGTGGCCCCTTATTCTTTATCTGAATACTTTTTAATAGAAAAAGGGTAAGAACCATGAGGATGGATAGTGGTATTACAAGAAATATCTCCTCAAATCTTGTCCTATCAGGGCACGATTTGAGACATCAAAAAACTCTAGCAACAACAAGCACATTTATAAACATGATTACATATGCATTTGATGTCAAGATGTTGAGATTTGTCCATGAGCACTTTCAGCTAGGCCACAGTTCTTGCATGTTTTTTTTTCCCTGCCAGTCTTCACTTCGTACCTGCTTCTGCTGTTTGGCCACAAATATATCATGAAAAAACCACCACACTTTACAGCAGACAGACTCCTCCATACACAACATATGTGCAATCTCTATTCAGGAGTTTTTGACTAATTTAATATGTTTGAACAGTCATACAGTTGAACGTCTGAGCACATTTCCAAATTGACAAACACGCCCACAAACGTCTGACCAATCACACAATTCTTGGTGCATACGCCTGTGAGAAAAAGTTGGACCTGAACCTTGTGTCCAGCAGGGACGGGCGAAGCTGATCTGAGAACAAAATGACAAGATTTTTGTCACGCAACTATGTCAATGAGAGCGGATTATGCTTCTCCTCCCTTGTTCGAACATTTTCTTTTAGATTTATATCAACACAAACCTGCCGCACATCCTTTCAAGCCTGAGCTCTCTTTTTTGCCAGTTGATATAAGTCCTTATCTCCCTCTTTAGTGTCCAAAATCTTTTGTTGTGATACAGTCATACAAAACATAAGACTACAAATTTAAAATTGGTTGGTATGCTTAAATTTATTTAGATATTTATTCAGTATTACATACAGTAGGTACACTGAAGATTCGTATATACTTACAACTGCAGTCTGTGAATGTTATGTACTTTATAAGGAAAGTGCATAATAGATGAGTGTAAAAATTTTTATACAAGTTTTTTGTAGACAAAAATGTTTCTCAGTCAAAACTAGTGAAATTACAGTATGTTGTTTATCACCAGATTCAGGCATGTAAAAAATACAATTAAATTAAATATATTAGTGTGTGTGGCTTTTTGCCTATGAGTTCTTTCAAATTACTTTTCCCCCAGTTTGGATTCTGTTTAAATATTCGGTCACACAAATCACAATAAAATGGCTTCTATCCTGTGTGGATTCTCATGTGTCTGTTTAAATGGCCCTTGCTGGTAAACCTTTTTTCACATACATCACAAGAAAAGGGCTTCTGTCCTGTGTGGATCATCATATGTTTCTTTAAATTGCCTTTTTCTGTAAACTTTTTACTACACTGATCACAACAAAATGTCTTCTGTCCTGTGTGGATTTTCATGTGTTTGTTTAAATCTCCCTTTGCGATAAACTTTTTTTCACACAGATAACAAGAAAAGGGGTTCTGTCCTGTGTGAATTCTCTTGTGTCTGTTTAAATGGCCCTTGTTGGTAAACCCTTTTTCACAAAGATCACAAGAAAAGGGCTTCTGTCCTGTGTGGATCATCATGTGTCTGTTTAAATCTCCCTTTTGAATAAACCTTCGTTCACACAGATCACAAGAAAAGGGCTTCTGTCCTGTGTGGATCATCAGATGTTTCTTTAAACTGTCCTTTTCGGTAAACTTTTGACTACACTGATCACAACAAAATGGCTTCTGTCCTGTGTGGATTTTCAAGTGTTTGTTTAAATCTCCTTTTTCGCTAAACCTTTTTTCACACAGATCACAAGAAAAGGGTTTCTGTCCTGTGTGGACTTTCATGTGTCTGTTTAAAATTCCCTTTTCAGTAAACCTTTTTTCACACAGAACACAAGAAAAGGGTTTCTGTCCTGTGTGGATTTTCATGTGTCTGTTTAGACATCTGTTAAGACTGAACCGTCGCCCACAAACATCACAACAAAATGGTTTCAGTCCATTTTTGTTGTGGACCCTGTTCACAATTGACTCAGAGACCCTGCTGGGTGAATACACCCGAGCTTCATCAGTGTGTTCAGTTTTTAACCCAAAGTCTGAGAAAAGCTTCAGCTGAGACTCAGGATTGTTCACATCATTATCATCTTCATCATCTTCACTAACTTCAGTTTCTGAAGAATCAGAATCTTCTCTATAAGCAATTAAATCTGGGTATTTTGTATATTTTGTTCCTTCACCAGTTGCTGATTCTATGTGATCACCTGAACTGTTGGTTAGAAGATCACGGACTTCAACTTGGTGTTGATGAAGCTGTGAGAACAGAGGTTTCTCTTCATCATCCTCACTCTTAAAAGGAACTGCAGTTAATGAAAAGTTGGTGACATCTGTCTCCTCCTTCATACTGAGCTGCTCTCCTCCCAAAATGATCCACGGTTCCTCCTCTTCCTGTTTTATGTGGAGACAATTTGTGTCCTGCTGGTCCACATCAGGCCACTGTTCTTCAGGAGCTTCTTCTTTAATCAGCACTGACTTCTGAACATCTGCAGGAACCACTGAAACACATGTAAAATACAGTAAGGAGAACTGTAGCTTTATATTCACACATACTTATTCTCCAAGATTATCTATTTATTATCGCAGATTATCTAAGATGGCCGCGCTCTCGGGAGCCTCAGCTTCATGGGCTCCCAGTGCGATTCCAGTTTTTCGGGAATTTTGAAGTAGACTCCGAGCCTGATTCCACATGATTTATGCGTGTGAATTATAGCCGGACCAAACTGATGAGAATAAGAGCGGATTTGCCACGAAATATAGCAGAGATCAGCAACAAACTCAAATCTACGCTTGGCAGAATGCAGATCTTAAAGTCATCTACCTGGAAGCTGCAGCAGAGGCACACCAACGGGCAGAGGAGGAAGCACTGCTCCCGGCTTAATAAGCGAGGTTGCCGGGTTGGAATTCTGGTGAGACTATGTGCTAATGCTAAAGCTGGCAGACTCCCGATACCAGGGGTGTAACGGTACGCTAAAATCACATTTCGGTTCAGTTCATTTTCAAGGAGGGCTCGGTTTGGTTAATTTTCGGTACAAAAAAAAATAAATAAATAAAGACTTACATAATGTTTATTTTGAAAATATGCCATGGAAACAATACATTTGTATAAAAATAAATAAAGTGACCCATTTGGATGATATTTCAAATAAATGGCACTCTTTACAATAAATAAACTATACTAACAATAATAAAAATCTTAATAAATACAATAACAGTCAGAACCAAAATAAGCAGTAAACTTACTGAAAAAGACTTACTGATGAAGACAACTCAGTCTATCTCCTCGACATCCACAGACTGCAAACAACACAGAGGTTAAAAAAAAAAAAAAAAAAGAGTTAAGATCATTTTAAAATAAAAAAATAATTAGATCATATGACTGTAATACAAATAATACCTCTTCTTGCACGGTCATCATGTCTGTTATGAGGTGGTTGAATCTCTTGTTCATCATCATCCATATGGCAAGGCTTTAAATCTGGGCTCCAGGGCTTGTTGACGATATCAGTTTTAGCTTTTTCATAAAGTGCTGCTACAACTTTTTGGCTGAAATGTTGAGGTGATGGAATGTCGTAGTGGGGCTCAAGAACTTTAATCATATGCTTAAAGCTTAAACAACAGAATACAGACATAGACCCAGAGGTTTAAAAACTCCTACAGCTTGTGTTATTGCTTTGGACCAATCTGAATTACCTGATAAAGATTGTTAAAATGCTGCTGTTATCGGTCTTTGCATCAAGCTGCTTTTCTTCCTTGTAGAAGAGACATTCATATTCGGATGACGTCGTTTCAAGTGCGTTAACAAGTTAAGACGTGTTACCTGCTGCAGATCCAATATCAGTGAAAGAATGTCGACACACAACTTTGGATTTGTCCATTTGTCTTTCCCCATCATTGAGTTTTAACAAGAAAGCCATAATGTTCCCAAACAGGAGATCGCAACGAGATGAAAGGGTCTTAAAGCTCTGTTCATTGCCTGCTAGGCTGCTAATGCTATGCATGTTGCAAGACTATGCAACAATTAATAGCGCCACGTTAAAACACGCTTAGGAACTTTAGTTCCGCGGCACATAATCTCTTGTTAATAAAATGAGTGAAAAAAAAAATAACCAAAATGGTACGCACGCGGACCGAACATGCCGTACCGAAAGGATTCAATACACCCACATGTACCATTACACCACTACCCGATACCCTCTCTCTTTCTGTCGAATGTCAGCTTGTTGGACAAGATGGATTTACTTTGTCTGAGAGTGAGTGCCTCAGAGGAGATGAGGAAATGTTTGGTGCTTTGTCTCACAGAATCATGGATTAAGAGTGACAAGCCGAACTCAGCCTTCCAGCTGGATGACGCACACTTTTTTCGAGTGGACCGCTGCAGCGAGATAACTGGGAAGTTGGTACACAAACTGTACGTTGATAAACCGTCATTGCTCCAAGGCTTTGGAGCAGCTAAAAGTGAAATGTCGACCACATTATCTACCCCGCAAGTTCACAGTGGTGTTCATAACAGCTCTATAGATAGCTCCGGATGCTAATGCTACAGATGCTCTGCGGGAGCTACATGATCATTTCAGCTCACTGCAAAGCAAACACCCTAAGGTTCTTTACGTGGTTGCCGGACACTTAAATCACATAAATCTGAAAGACTGCCTACCAAAGATTTTATCAGCATGTGGCCATACCAACACGCGGAAACAAAACGCTGGACCGTGTTTACACGAACAAAAAAGATTCATACAAAGCCGAACCCCGCTCCCACCTACGACACTCTGATCACACCTCCATCTTCCTGGCTCCTGCTGACCTCCCCCCGCTGAGAAGCTCCAGACCGGTACAAAAGAAAATTAAATTTTGGTTTCTTCTTTTGTGCTGAAACTGGTCTGGAAAGCAGAACTGGTTTGTTCCACTTTGGAGTAAGCTGTTGGAGGAAGAATCAGTTTTGTTGTGTGTTTCCTTGACTGATGAAGCCTTCCGGATCGAAGGTGAAACGTTTCAGCACAAAAAAAGAAACTGTCCAGATGACCTGACTGAAAAATGTTGGATTTTATACCTGGATTATTGAGCATGGACTTTGTTGCCCTACTGAAGGTTTTTAATGACATTTTCTTATCCACAGATACTGGTGATTCTGTGCTGCTTGTCCTATTGGACCTGACAGCCGCCTTTGACACCATCGACCATGAGATAATCTTGTCAGAAAAACAAAGAGTCACTAATCTGGGAGTGATAATGGACCCTTCCCTGAAACTTAACAATCATGTAAACATGATTGTTAAATCATGTTTCTTCCAACTGAGGTAGCTGTCTAAACTGAAGCCCATATTGTCCAAAAATAACCTGGAGACAGTAATACATGCATTCATTACATCTAGGCTTGATTACTGAAATTCGTTCCTGTTTGGTATCAATCAGACATCCATTGCATGACTACAACTGGTCCAGAATGCAGCAGCCCGATTTTTAAACAGTACAGGCAAAAGAGAGCACATTACACCAGTTTTGGCCTCCCTGCACTGGCTACCGGTTCACCTTCGAATCCAGTTCAAAATACTCCTGTATGTCTACAAATCGCTGAACAGTCCCATCTCTCCGATTTGCTACAGCCGTATGTCCCACCATGTTCCCTGAGGTCAGCGGACAAGTTGCTCCTCACAGTTCCAGATTTACTCATTTTACTAATCTTTCTTAAGATAAATCTCAGTTTGTGTTATACACTTTTTTTTTTTCAAGCCTCATCTATTTTAGACACAAAACCAGCCAATACTTATCTCCGCCAGTAGATGGTAGCAGTGGTGTAGTTTAGAACTTCACTGACTGACGCTCCTCTGCATTTTACAGCAGAAGCAGCGAGTTAACGGTGAGAAATCAGCCTAGAACTACACGAGAGGAGCTGTTCAATGACCTGAAGAGAGCTGGCACCACTGTTTCCAAGGTTACTGTGGGTAATACACTAAGATGTCATAGTTTAAAATCATGCATACCCCTGTTTAAATCAGTATATGTTCAGGCCCGTCTCAAGTTTGCCCATGACCATTTGAATGATCCAAAGGAGTCATGGGAGAAAGTTATGTGGTCAGATGAGACCAAAATAGAACTTTTTGGTCTTAATTCCACTCGCCTCAGTTAGAGCATTGAAGATGGGTTGTGGCTGGGTCTTCCAACATGACACTGACCCAAAGCACACAGCCAGGATAACCAAGGAGTGGCTCCGTAAGAAGCATATCAAGGTTCTGGAGTGGCCTAGCCAGTCTCCAGACCTAAACCCTATAAAAAAATCTTTGGAGGGAGCTCAAACTCCGTGTTTCTCAGTGACAGCCCAGAAACCTGGCTGATCTAGAGAAGATCTGTGTGGAGGAATGGGCCAAAATCTCTGCTGCAGTGTGTGCAAACCTGGTGACAAACTACAGGAAATGTTTGACCTCTGTAATTGCAAACAAAGGCTACTGTACCAAATATTAACATTGATTTTCACAGGTGTTCAAATACTTATTTGCAGCAGTAACGCACAAATAAATTATTTTTAAAATCATACATTGTGATTTCCAGATTTTTTTTTGTAGATTATGTCTCTCACAGTGGACATGCACCTAAGAGGAAAATTTCAAACCCCTCCATGATTTTTACATGGGGGAACTTGCAAAATCGCAGGGTGTTCAAATACTTATTTTCCTCACTGTAGATGGGCATAGTTTCCTCAGTACAAAGAAATGCACTGGGGGGCGCATGAGAGACCCATCCAAGATGGAGGCCACACTCATACTCAGCTTCAATAGACAGCACGAGGGGTCTACGTATATGTCTATTAGTGGTGTAACGGTACATGTGGGTAGGGGTGGGCAATATGGCTCAAATATGATATTTCAGAGCATTCTGACGATAACGATAAATTTTGTGATATAACTAAAAAAAAAAAAAAAACAGTAATCAGTTATTCATTTGACAAAATTAACTTAACATGTTGCTTTGCAGTATTATATAAAAACTAAAAAACAACAAGGGTTAATTTTACTGAAATTACTTTATTAGTAAAGTATTCAGTCTCAAAGTATAAAAATAAAAATTATCCTTCTGTTATTCAGATTGAAAAAGTCTGCACAAAATATAGATCAACAAAATCTACCACAAAAACTATAAGTGCCCGTGCAGTTTCCCAAAATGACTAAAATGAAGCTTAAGATCCGTTGAGCATAAAAGTCACATAAAACAAAATATATGTTGCCTTTAAATGAGCTATAACTTCCAAAATTTGTAACAAGGTGATCATCTGACCTTGAAGCTTGTGGTTTCAGCTTCCTCGCAGGAATGATTCATTTCAATGATGCTCTGTCTTTGATCACCTGCCTCTTTTCTTGGTCCATGGACTGTGGAACTCAAGAGACAGACCTGCGCACGTTTGTACCGGCAGTTGGGACCCAGCCAAGCTGCACCTGCACCGGTAGCCCAGAGCAGGATAGGGGGGGAGAGAAAATAGCCGAGCTGCGCTGGGGAGGGAGAGACATTTGAGCTGTCACTGTCTGTATCGGCAGTTTAGAGCAGGATGGAGAAGTGCAGCCGAGCCGCACGTTGTTTTCTTTTTTTTAGCATTTTAGCTAGCTAGTATTGTGCGCAACGAATTAGCGTTATGTAACTACCGACAGGTGGATGTGGGGGTGCGCAGTTCGGTTAGGAAGATCGGCGCGCTTGGTTCTGTTAACAGGGCGGGGCAAACACTGACATACTTACGTCATGAAATTAAAAAAATCACGATATAATTTATTTTCCCAGGCAAGATTTTTTTAAACGGTATTATCATGAACGATATATGGCCCAGCCCTACATGTGGGTGTATTGAACGGTTTCGGTACAGCATGTTCGGTTCCGTCCACATGCATACTGTTTCGGTTATTTTTTCACTCATTAAATTTTATTAACGAGAGATTATGCGCCGCAGAACTAAAGTTCCTAAGTGTGTTTCAGCACGGCGCTATTAACTGTTGCATAGTCTTGCAGCACGCGTAGCATTAGCAGCCTAGCAGACAACGAACAAGACCCTTTCATCTCGTTGTGGTCTCCTGCTTGGGAACATTAAGGCTTTCTTGTTAAAACTCAACGATGGGGAGAGACAAGTGCAAATCTAAACCTGTGTGTCGACGTTGTTTCACGGAGACTGAATCTGCAGCAGGCAACACATCTAACTTGTTAACGCACTCGAAATTACATCATCCGAATGTGAACGTCTCTTCTAGCAGCTTGGTCCAAAGACCGATAACAGCAGCATTTAAAAAACCTTTATCAGGTAATTCAGATCGGCCCAACGCAATAACACAAGCTGTAGTTTTTAAAGCACTGGATCTGTGTCCGAATTATGTTGTTGATGCGCCGGCTTTAAGGATTAAAGTTCTTGAGCCCCGCTATGACATCCTGCCACGTCAACATTTCAGCCAAAAAGTTGTAGCAGCACTTCATGAAACAGATAAATCTGATATTGTCAACAAGTCCTGGAGCCCAGATTTAAAGCCCTGCCACGTGATGATGATGAGCGAGAGATTCAACCACCTCCTAACAGAAATGATGACCGTGCAAGAAGAGGTAGTGTTATTTTATTATTATTATCTAATTAACTTTTTTTTTAATTATAATCTTAACTCTTTTTTTTTTTTTTTACCTCTTTGCGATGTTTGCAATCTGAGGATGTCAACGAGATAACAGCTGTGTCTTCTTCCTGTTCAGGGAAATCATCCACCAGCGATCACCTCCAGCTAAAAAGTCTGTAATGACTGAACTCTTTGGTGAACTTTTCCAGGGACAGGTGGGAAGTACAAGTCCCTTTTGGAGCAGATCCAAGAAGAGGTTGTGAGTACAGAGCTTCAGGGTGCCCCTCCCTTGAAGCTGACCCTCTTTTTTGGTGGAAAGACAATGAGGTCAAATAGAGCCACACTGCAAAATTAGCAAAGCTCTGCCTCTTTATTCCTGTTACCTGTTGCTAGTGAGCAATTTTCTCCACCACTGGAGATACTCACTACAACTAGATCTATGCTTTTGGCAGTAAATGTGGATAAGTTGATCTTTTTGGCCAAAAAATTAAAACTTGATTAGTTACCGGTAAATCGTAAACGGTCTGTTGCTGCTTATTGTTCTGGTTCTGAATGTTATTGTATTTATTAATGTTTTTATTATTGTTATTATAGTTTTTTGTAAAGAGTGTCATTTATGTAAAATATCATCCAAATGGGTCACTTTTATGCATTATTTATTTTTATACAAACGTATTGTTTACTTGGCATATTTTAGAGATAAACGTTTTGTAAGTCTTTATTTTGGCCTTTATTGTTTCGAAAATTAACCGAACAGAGCCCTCCTTGAACCTGAACCGAAATATGATTTTAGTGTACCGTTAGATCCCTAATGTCTATGGTTGCATGTCCTTTCCAGGAAGCTAAGTTCATTAGCTACCTAAAAGTTCAGACTAAACAATAATATAATTCCATTCAACAGAAAGAATAAAAAAATACAAACCTATTATATGCAGTTGATCGATGGGACTGACCCTTGACTCAGAGACCCTGCTGGGTGAAGACTCCCAGGCTTCATCAGTGTGTTCAGTTTTTAACCCAACGTTTGATAAAAGTTTCAGCTGAGACTCAGGATTGTTCACATCATTATCCTCTTTGTCATCTTCACTAACTTCAGTTTCTGAAGAATCAGAATCATCTCTATAAGCATTTAGATCTGGTTTTTTTGTATCTTTTTCTCCTTCACCAGTTGATGATTTTATGTGGTCACCTGAGCTGCTGGTTGGAAGATCACCATATTCAACTTGGTGTTGATGAAGCTGTGAGAACAGATGTTTCTCTTCATCATCCTCACTCTTAAAATGAACTGCAGTTAATGAAAAGCTGGTGACATCTGTCTCCTCCTTCATACTGAGCTGCTCTCCTCCCAAAATGGTCCACTGTTCCTCCTCTTCCTCTTTTATGTGGAGGCAATTTGCATCCTGCTGGTCCACATCAGGCCACTGTTCTTCAGGAGCTTCTTCTTTAATCAGCACTGACTTCTGAACATCTGCAGGAACCACTGGAACACATGTAAAATACAGTAAGGAGAACTGTCGCTTTATATTCACACATACATGATTTGTTTTACTGCTCAGATCAGTTATTTTTTCTCCTCCAAACAGGTTCAGGTGCTAAACCAGAGCCAAAGAGAGCTTAGCCCCAGCTCTTTCCTTTAATAACACTTTAAGCTGTGGCTTTAGCACCCCACCAACTCAGCACAAACTGTTTAAATGTTGTTGTTTTACCAAAACATTTCAAGTGTTTAACCAGGCTGGTGCTACAGATGGTTCCTGAATGGTTATTTAAAAATAAAGTTAAGCAACAAGAAAAGATGGTGCCTCCACACCCACCTCCAGGAGAGTGGAAATAATACCGTTTTGCATGTAATGATCAACGATTTTAAATATTCGTGTGGCAATTTGAGGTTTCAATTGTTAGCTTTTATGTAGTAAAACTAATAAGGCAAATGCTTAATTAATCAAACGGCTTTAAACTCAGCACTTAACGGTTTGTAACCATCCATTATTTAATCTGTTAGCAAGCTCAGCTATAAATAGCTGCACACGTCCTTTCCTGGAAGCTAAACTTATTAGCTCAGACTAAACTGTAACATAATCACATCCAACAGAAAGAATAAAAAGATACAAACTTATTATGTGCAGTTGATCGCGGGGACTGAAAACTGCATCTATGATTTTTCTTCCTCCAGTTGTTTCCTGTTCAAGAGCATCTCTACTTCCAAGGAAAACCTCCATTTCTTCTTCCTCTGCATCCAGGTGCTGCTGGACCTGCTGTCTCCACATCTGTTAGCTTTCGTTCATCACTATTTACCTTGAACATTAACCGAGTAGTTACACCTGAATAGAACTCAAAACTAAACTAATTTCATTAGAAGTGGAGCGAAAAGAGGATTATATCGACATGGAACATGGAGAACACAATGAACGTAAGAACAGAACAGTTTCCGCTAGGAGAAATCACTTCCGTTCTTCTTCCTAATGGAGTTTTATGGCAGTTGGCAAACAACGGAAGGTGCATTACCGCCACCTACTGGTGTGGAGCGTGTATCAAAATGGCTGTCTGCAGTCGTTAATGTTCTCTTCTAATTTTGTGTTTCTAAAAAAAAAAGTATAATAATTTGAATACTTTTAATTCTCGTTTCCTTTTGTAATATATTAATTATCTAAAAGTTTCTTTGAATTTTTCCTAATTGTTCTAGTATCCGTTTTCTGTGATGATCATTTTTCTGACATACTAAAAATTCATTCAACCTTTTTTTAGACAGGTTAATCCCAATCAGCATCGAGGACTCATTTACACACATCTCATGTGGTACATGTGGTGGAACGAAATCATGTACGCAGGGTCCCAGTTACATCCAACAATAAAATGTAAAAGAAAAACAGTAATAAGATCTAAGATATGAACCAAGAAAAACATCAACTAAACAATACACCAAGCACCAATAGCACAAAAACATCACGTCGAAGATAGATATTACGTTGATGGAAGGCGGTTCAAGGAACGTTTTTAATGTGGGGGGTTAAACTACATGTCCTGATTTAAAAAACAAACCAACAAAAAACAAGATTTTTAACATTAGAGCTGGAGGCCAGATTAATGCCATCCAAGGAGATAAAAAAAACTAAAATTTATTCCTAAAATGCTCAGGTCCAAAAACCAAAACTGAATTTAAAAGCAGAAAATTAAGGGTCATCCAGGTTTTTATGTCTTTAAGACATGCTTGTAGTCTACGTAACTGATTGGATTTATTAGATTTTGTGGACAAATTGAACTGTGTAACATCAGCATAACAATAAAAATTTATCTCATGCTGTTTAATAACTTTACCTAATGGAAGCATAAGCATAAGGTAAATAGTATTGTTCCGAGCACTGAACCTTGAGGAACTCCAAGACTAACTTTGTTGTATTAAGAAGATTCATTATTTATTTTTACAAATTAGAACTTATCAGATTGGGGAAGCTGTGGCTGAGTGATTAGAGCAGTCATCTTCCAATGCGAGAGTTGGGGGTTTGATTCTACCAGCAGTCACATGCCAAAGTGTCCATGGGCCAGACATGGAACCCCTCACTGCCTCTGATGTGTGTCCCATCTGTGTAAAAAATATGATCTAAAGCACTGATTAATCTCTGTATAGATATAGTAGAGAATATGAATGGGTAAATGAGGGCACAGATTGTGTTGTAAAGCACTTTTGAGTATCTTGATAAGATAAAAAGTTGCTATACAAGTACAGTTCATTTACCATTTGAATTATTTAAACCAATTTAGAGCCGTTCCCGTAATCCCAATATCATATTCAAGCCTCTGTTGTAGAATATTGTGATCAACTGTATCAAACGCAGCAGTGAGGTCTAAGAACCAGTGTAGATACCTGTCCATTGTCAGAGGACATGAGAATATCATTAGTAACTTTCACCAGTGACGTTTCTGTACTATGGTGTGCTCTAGATCCTGACTGAACCTCCTCAAACTGATTATTTGTTTGTAATGTTCATGCAACTGACCTACAACTATTTTCTCAAGAATTTTTTAGATGAAAGTTAGATTAGATTTATTGTAGGTCTAAAGTTGGTTAGGATTCCTGAGTCAAGGTTATGTTTCTTAAGTACATGTTTAATTACATCAGAGGTGCTGTATTCAGCTCAGTCTTATAAATAGCACCTTCTCAGAGTGGATCAAGCAGTTTTGCTGCTGACAACCAAAACCAGCTGCTCACATGATCAAGGACCATCAGCCTAATGATGGATCATTAGCACACTGATGGCTGTTTACTATTCACAGAGGGCTAAGTGATACTAGCAATAACAGCATTGTAAAGCCTCCAGTATACTGCCACGTACGTCCGATCACGCATACGTACGCGTGTACTGTACGCAGAGGGTTCAGACTTCATACTCCAGCGTACACCCAGAGCAGCTGCAGAGCAGCTTCACAGACAAGGGGCATTTACCTTCGGGACAAATTGAGGTCACCGATTGGTCATTTGTTGACACGCCTACTGGATTGATTGACAGGTCGGAAAAAATAAAAAAAAAGTGAGCACTGGCAGCCTCCGCCGCAGCGGTGTTCTGTGTTTATATGTTGTTAATAAAAAGATCTAATAAAAAAAAAAGAAAAACAGGGAGCGCTGGCTCTACAGCCCACACATCAGACCAGCCCACCAGGAAATCTCCAGACCCTCCCGCAGCCATGCTGGACCTGAGTTTAATTCGCTCGTGACAAATTCCTTCATTTCTCAATATTTCAGTCATGGCATCAACGGAGGAGGAAGAAATCACTTGCCTTTTGGCAAAAAAAACAAAACAAAAGGCCAGATCAGAGATGAAGAAGGGGAATTTAATACATTGGTATCACATACAAAACAGTCCATCGCTGGGCAGTTTATTGTGCGACACTGCATACGCGGTCGTAAAAATTTGAGCTTTGCACGGACATGCCCTGGGGGGTACGCTCGTACCTCTGCGTACGTACGTATGTACCTCTGCGTATAGATGTACGCGGCAGTATACTGGGGGCTTAAGACGGGGACAGTTGAACACGGTGGCTTCCACCCGTTTAACGATGGACGATTTATTTTCACAAAGATGGCCTCCTTTACTCCTCTCTCAAACCATTGTTCCTCCCTATCCAGGATGTGAACATCTTCATCCCTGAAAGAGTGACTGCTGGCCTGGAGATGAGTGTAGACCAGAGTCCTGGCCTGATGTTGCTCTTCTGTGCTGGGCCATCCTTTTGGCCAGTGGCTGTTTAGTTTCCCCGATGTAAGACTGATCACAGCCCTCCTCACACTGAACAGCATACACAATATTACTCCCTCTTTAGTTGGCAGCTCAGAACACCGTATACAGAACACCACGGACTTTGTGGATAAGGTGAGGGATGTCATCATGGAGACTGATGAAACAATGGTCTCTTTTGATGTCACATCATTCTTTACGTGTATTCCTGTTGATGATGCAGTAGAGGTGGTCAGTTTAAGATTAAAATCAGACACCACTCTGAGCAGCAGGACCACACTTTCCACAGAATAACTGTGTCAACTCTTGAAACTGTGCCTGCAGTCAACCTACTTCACATATGGGGAGCAATATTATAGGCAGAAACATGGGTGTGCTATGGGGTCTCCAGTTTCTCTTATTGTTGCCAACCTGTACATGGAGGAGGTAGAAAAGAGAGCCTTGACATCCTTTTCAGGGACACCACCAAGTCATTGGTTCAGGTATGTTGACGACACATGGGTTAAAATTAAATCTCAGGAAGTCCAACATTTTACTGACCACATCAACTCTGTGGATCAATACATCAAGTTCACACGAGAAGATGTAAACAATGGCAGGTTGGCTTTCTTGGACTGTGAGGTCTCAGTCTCTGATAGAGGACATTTGCAAACCGAGGTGTACCACAAACCCACCCACACAGACCAGTATTTGCAGTTTGACTCCCATCACCCTTTGGAGCACAAATTAGGAGTCATCAGGACTCTGTATCACAGAGCAGACAGCATCCCCACTAACTCAGGAGCCAGGCAGACTAGGTGAGGCCTCCCCTGGGTAGTCTGTGGTACAGAATACGGCCAATAGCCTTGTCCTGTTCCAAAATTTTCAGGCAATCTATCAAGTTCTTCTTGTAACCACTTCCTGGATCTCTTTTCAGAGGTTCATAAGTGGTTAAGTCACTAAGAAGTGTCATGACTTTCTCACGATAGTCTTTCTGGTTCAAAATCACTGTGCACCTTCCTTTGTCTGCTGGAGAATTATGTTTTTGTCCTTGCTAAGAGAGATGAGTGCATCCCTCTCCTCTCTACTGATGTTGATCCTCATTACTCAGAACAAGGCCTCCATCAGTCAGTACATCTCCATTCTACCATCTCTGGTGAACAAGATGGTCAGATATA